TTTTTTTTTTTTTTTTTACTAGGGATCGAACTCGGGTCCTTGCACTTGCCAGGCACATGGTGGAACTGCTAAGCTAAATCCCCGGCCTAATATATTGGATTTTAACTTTACTAAATTTATTTTTTCCTTTGTAAACTGGGGACATTAATAGTGCCTTATTTGCTTCGGTCCTTTTGATTAAAAAGTTGAGATACTGTTTCACATCATTTGCATTTTAGTGGGGAGGGAGCTAGGAAAAAAAGTGCTAAACCACAGAAATCAGGTGAAATAGTCTAGAACAAATATGAAAGGCTAAATATTGTGGGAGGGTATGTCGAGCCATTCTATATAACTTTTGGGAAAAATAATTTCATAATTAAGTTATGATTAGGACTGCAAAGCCTTCTCCTTCTCTGTGAGCCAGGTATGGCCTGCACAAATGTGACTCCATGTGCCTCTGGTCACAGGTTGAAGCCTCAGTGATCCTGTGATGCTGTGACTCTCAAGGGCAAGAGTGCATCAGTTGAAGACATCCTTGTTCTTTGAGAACTGAGTAGTAATAAAAAAAGAGGCTTACCCTGGGGAGTGACAAATTCCTTATTAGCCTGCTATCTCGTCCCACCTGCTTTGTAAGAATGCTCTCTTAATGCCTTCAACATAAGATCCTTAGTGACTGAAGATCCTCATCAACCCCAAGATCATCAACATAGGATTACCGCCACTCAAATCACTCAATACTCCCTCTGATTTTTGTGTGTACCCACTAAATTATGGCTAGCTTGTGTCTTTGTCTTTGCCAACGCTGAGGCACTGACCTCCCAGCCACCCATGTATTTTGAAATTACACAAGTCTCTATTGTCTTTCTTTAGCCCTCCTAGTTCCCCTTTCTAGGCAATTGGAGGATTGATCACCCTCCAGGAAGGTTAGATAGCGTGTTGATTAGGGGACAGAAACAGAGCAAAAGACCTTACAGTTTGAGAATCAGTCCTTGATAAACTTTGGCTCCTCTGTGGCCAACTTCCTGTGATCGTCTGGGGTGGGGCCCCCTCCCACCACGTTGGTCTGTGTTAGCTTTCTTTCACCGTAACAAAAACCCAGGGATAGAACCTAGCAAAGAGAAAAGATTTCAGCTTACAGTTTTGGAGGTTCTGGGCCATGTCCAGTCGCCCTACTGGTTTCGGTCCACAGTGAGGCTGCACATCATGGCAGGAGCATGTGACACAGACAAGCTGCCCACCATCTTGAGACAGGGAGCAGAGGAGGAGAGAAGGGTCCCACAGTCCCCTTGAAGGCCATGCCCCAGGGATCTAGGGATCTCTCACTAGGCCCCACATCCTAAATGTCCCACACCTGGGCACTTTCTCATCTATAGCATTACTTTGAGGACCAAACATTTTAACAGAAGGGCTTTGGGGAAACACTGAAGATACAAACCACACATGGTCTAAGAATTTATTTTATAATATGCTTTAGAAAACATACTTAACATAGTGACTGTCTTAAAATTTATTATTTCAAAGCCAACAGATTATACTTTTTTAATTGTCCACTTGGATCACTTATTTCCTTTTATTTTTCCCATTTGGTTTTCCTTTGTTGGTGTCAATATTAGCTATTTCTGAGAGTGAATTTACCAGATTGACTTTAATCTGTAGGAAATTTTCTAAAGTTAGATAATGAAAAGCTTCCTGAAAAGTGGGTGTAGTCACAACTAAGAATTTCTGTTCACTTTTGCACAATCTAAAAAGTTTATTTAGCACATATTCAGGAAAAATAAGAATTTATATGTTAAGCTACTAAGGGAACAAATTGTTAACATGTTTTTGTATGCACACAGCTACTCTGAAAGTGCAATTAAATATTAGTTATTAATGAAATTATTCTGGCAGGGAATTCTTTTCAGTTGCTAGGATAGTTTTTATGGACTTGAAAGTAATAAAGCCTAAATGTTTAAAAAAGTGTTCCATATTTTCCAACAATTTTTATTAGCCTACTTGTGAAATTACCCAGGTTTGGAAGACCTTTATTCATTAAAATGAGGTCGTTCATAAAGTCTTTTCTTATGCCAATGTCTTCAAGAGTTCTGCCTAATTTATCTTCCAGCAAGTTTAGTGTTTGTTTTAATATTTAGATCTTTAATCCACTTGGATTTTAATTTAGTGCATAGTGAAAGATAAGGGTCTAGTTTTAATCTTTGGCAGGGTGAGATCCAGTTTTTCCAACACCATTTATTAAAGAGGCCATCCTTCCTCCAGTGGGGATGGTCAGCTCCTTTGTCAAAGATGAGGTAGCTGAGTACATCTGGAGTTGTTTTTATGTCTTCCAGTCTGTTCCACTCATCCTCAGGTCTGTTTTTTTTGCCAGTACCATGCTGTTTTTATCACAGTGGCTTTGTAGTGTAGTTTTAAATTGGGAATTGTTATACCCACTGCCATGTGTCTGTTGCCTAGGATGGCTTTTGCTATTCTAGGTCTCTTAAGGTTCCAAATGAATTTTTGGATTCTTTTTTCTAGTTCTGTGAAATATAGTGTTGGAATTTCAATTGGCATTGCATTGAATCTGTATAGCAGTTTTGGTAGTATGGCCATTTTCTTCCTACCCAGAAGCTGGGGATATCTTTCCATTTTCTCATATCCTCTTTGATCTCTTTTTTCAGAGTGCTGTAGTTTTCAGTGTAGAGGTCTTCTGCTTCTTTTGTTATATTGATTCCTAGATACTTCATTTTTTGGGTGCTATTGTGAAAGGAATTGTTTCCCTAATTTCTCGCTCAGTGAGCCTATTTGTGTACAAGAAGGCTATTGATATTTGGGTGTTGATCTTGTATCCAGCTACTCTGCTAAAAGTGTCAATTAAGTCTAGAAGTCTTTTGGGTCTTCAATGTAGAGTATCATATCATCAGCAAATAATGACAGTTGAACTTCTTCCTATCTTTATTGCTATAATTTTTTTCTTGTTTATTGCTATGGCTAATGTTTCTAGAACTATATCAAAGAGGAGTGGCAATAGTGGGCATCTTTGTTTTGTTCCTGATTTTAACATGAAGGTTTTCAGTTTTTGGCCATTTAATATGATGTTGGCTGTTGGTTTTTCATAGATAGGCTTTATAATCATGAATGGGAATACTATTCAGCCATAAAGAATGAGAAATTAGATTCATTCATAGGAAAATGGATACATATTAAGGATATACTCCTAAGTGAAATAAATAAGTCACACATGTGTAAATACTGAATAGTTTCTCTGGTGTGAATAAACTGTGATAGTACATAAGATCCTAAGGAGATGACTGACATTGTGAAATGGGAAGAAAAGGGCTAAAGGTGTAGGGAAAGTGGGAAGGGTAGGGGAAAGGTAATAAAGGAAAAATATGAGAAAATGAAAAGAGACCACCTGTCATGTAAAGGTACAAGATCCCAATAATGAATGTAACGGTACTGTATACCTAAAATGTACCAATAAACTCAATAAAAGAAAAAAAATGAGGTTGCTTGTGTATTACTGGAATGGAGAAGTCATAAGCCTATAAATTTTAAATGGGGATGATGTTCTGAATTTATGGAAGTGTTTTTCAAATTTGCTGTTTCCTTATGGTAGTGGTACAAGACATTTTAAACTAATAGGTCAATGTAAACCGTGCTTGTTTTAAGGGCAATGGCACTGAATGTGAAAATTATATGTCACAATTCACAGGTAAATTCTCCGTAATTGTTTTTGCTATGGTTTTACATGGAGATATACACCCAAATGTCCCTGGGAGGGTTGTGGAAGAGGGAAGGAGACTCAAGACAGTTAAACACATGTGGCTTTAACCTAATAAAATCAGAGACTCCTCAAACTGTCCCTCCTGCTCTGGTGAACTAATCATATTCTAGTAATTTACGACACTGAAGTTTCATCGGTTTGGCTTTCACCAAAGGATGCACTTTTTGATAAAGCCATTGTTCTCAATTCTGGTATTTCCCTCTACTTTTTGTATCACACGTTTAATTTTATTATTTTCTAGTTACCTTGTTAAAATGTTACTGGCTAAACTTGGCCACTTTCTCATCAATTAAAAAACAAACAAACCGGATTGTTTCAAAGCACCTAGTAAATTCAGCCAACATAAAAGGACAGAGACATGAATGAGCTGTTTACTTGCAAGATGATTTAAACATATAAAGGGACGTTACGGGGAGGCTTTTCTGACTAAAGACTCAAAATATATCAATTTATAAAAAAATTCTTTCTTAATTATCAGAACTAGCTCTCTTACCAAACTGGAGTTAATATCTCTCATTTACATTTCATTTAACTGAATTAAAATGAAGGAATATTTTGCATATCACTGCTATTAAGCTATCAAAAGGATACCCCTTCTCAGACTACAGTTACTGTGGATTTGAAGGTTTTATAAAGCAATTATGTTTTCTAAAGCTAGCAATCAAAATCGCCACAATTTCCTTTAGGTAGTGGTAAAGTTTATTTCATTTTTAATAACAATTAGTGGACAAAATGTTTAAAATTTGCAGTTTAAATCATGCACATCCACAAAAGGCCAATGACATATAACACTGCATAGAAATGAATATACTCAACTTTAAATAACTATTTATAAAACACAGTGCATTGAACATCAAGATAAACAAACCTGAGTAAACTACTAGAATCACAGGACCAACACTCTCACTCATGCAGCTTCACAATTTCTACAGCAGTTTCAGCAGGAATGGATTTTCATGGAGCTGAAAACACTACATTATCTTTAACTCAAACTGCAGTTTTCCATAGCTGCCTTCCAAGGCTGCCTTTTTATTTTTAACCTAATAAAGCTGAAAACGTGAAAAACAAAGCTTGAAGTATTAAAAAACAAACAGCATTTACTGCATATATGGCTTCTATTCTAGAATCATGAAACATGAAAATATCTGTTTTTAACATTCTGCTCACGTCTTTGTAAGAGCAGACTACCTATGGAAAATTGCTGTTAATTCAAAGTGAGCAAATATTAAATCTAGATTTTTTTTTTTTCCTACTTAAGGGAGATTTATTTGCTGAGAAGTTTTGTGAGCTTTATTAGGAAAAGTTCTTAGAGGCAAGCTAAACAAAAGATTCAATTAAATTTGTTCAAATTTGTTTGTAAAGTAATCTACTTATTAAAAAAAAAGTTGTGTAGAGGACCAGTTAATTTATCCACTGAATATTAAATTCCAGGTAGGCCACGATAGAATTTTATAAGGCAGAAATAAACATCAAGATTTACAGCAATAGTCATGCATTGGCCTGGATCACTTTAAATATTAATTCATGCAAACCATAAACCTATCAAAAACACAGCTGCTCTCATACAGAAAATAAATCAAGATGAAAAATGGAAAACATTCATTTCATTTCCTTAAGAATTTAACGTACATTCCACTTTAATAGCGGTTGAAGGTTAATTAAAATGCAGCAAAGAATAAACAAGTTTCACAAGTGACTTCAGTTATTTTAACGTGAGAACAATCAGACAGTGGTACTTTAAGAGGCATTATAGAAATGTGCATCATTAAAAGCATTTATTAGGCACCGGACTGCATGGTGTTACCATAAGCCATTACAAAAAGAATTCCACAGACCTAGTCATTGTGATGTAAACAGCTGGGGCTTTTCTTGATAAATTTGATTAAAGATTTAGTCAATGAAATAAGTTTTAAAGCCAGGAAGCATCAAAGGGCAACTGCATGAAGACAAACCCTAACGATTATGTGGCTTTGTAATACTGACACAAATACTTTAAAATTATGAATATATAATCTAGTACTTTCTGACTAGCAACTTTTCTGAAAGAACATTTTACGTGACAGGTTATACATGCTTTACAGTGCACACAATGCTAAAGAATTTAGCATGTGACTCTTATAGCTGATATTCAGAACGCTAAATTTAAAAATTAAAATATAAAAATTTATGAGGATCAATGATCATTGATTTCTATAATTTGCCCCTCCCCAACCTAGAAAATTAAGAGGAACCCTTGACTCCGCTGCACGACCGTACAACTCATGTAAGTAGTTAACTTTATTTAGCAGAATACACATGCACCTGATTTGAGAGAAGTTTTTCCAGTGAGTTCATGACACTTCTGGCACTTCCTGCACAATGCAACAGGACAGCACAAAGTGTGGTGGTGGTGCGGAGCACACATAGCATTTTAAATTTACTACATTCCTGAGAAACACTGCTTTCCCGCTAATAAACTCTATAATATAGCATTTTTCTGGGGTTGAGACACTGATATATTCTCATATGAATATATAAAACATTTAGAAAGTCCATGTTCAGTACCTCTGTGCAGTATTCAACATTAAAGAAGCAACTCCTAGCGTTTCAGTGCTAAAGGAAGGTTTTGTATTATAAGTAGTATTTTCTGAATTGTAAACATTATACAGCAACTGCGTCAGCATGTGCCACAGTCCTTACCAGGAACATTTTAAATGAACAGTATGTGTTCTTTATTTTAGAAAATAAATGTTAGAAGTCACTTAGATTAGTTTTAATCCTGGCAAAACTATGTTCCCCCTCCCTGCCCCAATTCAGGAGATTAAAACTCAGAGCATTTTCACTAATGGAAGTACAACTGCAAAGTTACTGCAGTTGCAGTGCTGCATTTTCAAGTTTTAGCAAAGTGGTCATTCCCTGCCCCATATGCCCTACCTGTACCCAATAAGCAAAGAGAGTGGCTTAATGTCCAGGACTGGAAAATCGCATCACTGGACAAATAGGCAGAAATAAGCCACATTTCAGAGCATGATGATGTCCACTGATTTCAAAAGAAACCATGATTATTCTTTTCATGTTGTAGAGCTCTATTGAAACAGTCCATGTTTCAAGATGAAAACAAAACTTTTAATTTTCATGTTTAAGTAAAAAAACTCAATTCTCTTTTATGCTTTTGATATTAAAAATTCGGAGAAGGATGCCACTGACAAAATGCAAACCAATGGAAGCATATCTTCTCGGGAAGGATGCACTTCATTCTTGCTGAGTGTTCTGGTTTGATCTCAACTATTGCTACTAGGAGACCCAGGAAAACACACTCTGAAAATCCATTCAGTAGACAAAGTCTGTGACTCCAGAATTTCGAAGATTTTAAACTCTACATCTGCGGTCTCGCCAGATGTTTTGATTCATGATTTTCCTTATCTGAACCTCAAATGGGAAGAGTCTGAAAGATGAAATATATAAGCTCCCTGTTCTGTTCAGATTAGAATTATTTACATGTATTATACATGTTATTTGCAGAAAATATGGATTTATACTGTATATAAAAAGAAATCATATGTATATTTAATTTTAAATCTGGATTGAGAAAAAGGGGGTAAAGAATGTGAAATGGCTAAACTTGGGGCAATTTGGAAAAATCACCTGTCTCAATTCTAGTTGACTTTTGTTTTAAAGTTCTACCTATTTTGCTGGTAAGTCCACTTTTAAAGGCAAACAGGCTTTTGAATAAAAGGCAAACATTTTGCTTCATTCTTTGAAGTATATCTGAAAACTAGAATTCCTTTTTTCTTTTAAATGAAAGCACTATTTAAAAATAGTATAGAAAATTTGTGGTTTTAAAACAGCCTCTTCACCATTTACTGTTTGTTGGTAGCAACACCGGCATTTTCAGATGTCATGGACATGTCAAAAATTATTAAACTGAACATGTGCTTTAAAACATATTAGTAAACCCTACTCCTGATGAAAAACATTCTTTGACCGTGAAGTAACAGGTTTGAGCAAAATAGGTATTTTTTAAAATGGGGGAAATATACTACTTATTTGTCCAAATAAGTAGCACATGACTAATTTGAGGAACTGCTTGATGAATGAATAACCTGTGAACTAATTTCCAGTCTTGAGTAAAGGGACGGCCACTGTAACACTGAGTATGCTACATAAGTCAGCAGGCATCTCTAGTGGGAACCAACAATGAGAACCAAAACACATTACAAAAGCTGAGCCTAGGTACATTATAAAAGCCCATGCATTTATCCAACATATTATTCCAAACATCCAGACAGAAACTTTGGAAATGCCACATAAATACGTAAGCCTGATTTTCTTAAGACGGGAAACTTTAAGACAGAATGACATCATTTAGACACAGCAGAAGCCAGATTTTTAGAAAAAAACTACCGGATGATAAAACTCAGAGATGATGAATGAGATGTAAATGCAAGTTCAAAAACAAGTATTGTAATGACAGTCACATTAACACGTGTGCCTTCTAAGGAACAAATAAGACAAAGAAGCACTCGTAAGGCTGAAGGTGCAACATCACAGATTTTAGTAGCAAATGCCTTGAAATATTCATTTTTGCAAATCACTCTTACATTTGAAAAGTCAAGCATGCAGATAGATCTGACAGCAGAACTGGAAGTTTACTTTTGCTTCAAATTTCTGGGCAAATGACTACTGAATGAGAAATAACACTTACTGAACTTCTTTGGCAAACATTTACCGAGACAGTTTTTGACACAAACACTTAATAATGCCTTGTTTAGAAATGCTCAGTAAGGTGAGTCAGTTCCTTAAGAATGCTGGTTTCAGCATGTCCTGAAATCTTAGTCTGGATATCAAGAGTCCCTTTACCTGAGCTCCATTCGAGAGCTTTTTTCAATGGTTGGTCACCTTGTGGTACAGCTAATGAACTGACAGTTACAGTCCCTCGTCAACGGTGTAAAAATACTGACCTCTTCCCAGCTTAAGAAAGCACTCTGGCAAGATACAATATCATTTTCAATTTCTCTTTACAAAGCCTTAGCAAATACTTTAAGAAATCTGAGAGAGATGGTGTTACAGTGTGGTAGCACAGTGCTTATGTCTCTGATGTACATGAATCTGAAGGTCCATCGGTGAGATGAGCTCAGATCCATCTTTCCTCTACATGGACCAGACTGGAATTGGTCAGCAGACTGCAGCGACGACCTCAGATTGTGGTAGCTCTCCCCCAAGACCGGAGGGCCTCTCTGCCCCTTCCATCACCACTCCTCTGGCCTCTGCTTCGTGGTATCATACGCTCTAATCACTTCAGACTGTGAAACAATTCCATTCTCATCTTGAGAGAAAGCATACCCATCTGCAAGTAAGACACAAATCATCATCATGATGCCAGGGGAAATTACTGCTATTACGAGTTCTGTGTACTTTTTGTCTAACTGGGGGAGCTCATGCATCCCTTTCGCCTTTGAAGGCAACAGACACTACTTTTCAACATGTGGAAAGACAGATGAGCTGCAAAATGGCCAGTGGGATGACAGAGGGTCACCAGCGGAGATACCATGAAGTTTGCTCCTTTCAGACTGGGCAGGACCCCAGTGCTCTCCGTCTTCTCAGGCCGCTCTTCCGTATCTCAGTTTCATCTCACTTGACCTCTGCTTCCCTGCTACCGGAGCGGGTGGAGGAGTCAAGCAGGTCCATGGCTTTTGAGATACGTGGGGTAGATGAGTGACAGAACAATGAGTAGGTGAGGGAACGACTATGCTAATGATCTTGACCGAATCGCTGTGTCACGTATACGTATTGAACAGCACGCTGGACTCCACAGGTGTACACGATTATGTGTCAATTAAAACAACCAAGGAGCAGCAGATAAACACAAATAGCTGGGGATGGTGGAAAAGTGTTCTGCTTCCTTTGAGGAACCTCCTCCTTGGCTACAAATGAACTCACAGATGTCCCAACTCAGTTGGAGGGGGTGTGGGGATAAGAAATGTCCCCCAGGGGGATCACATCTTTGGAAAAGTCCCCTTGAAGTACAATGAGCAAAAGCATTAAACTTGAGTGTATATAAGTGAAAATAAATTATATGTGGAAACAACATGAAATAAAAGATATATTACTAGCACAAATAAATTTACCACAGGGCTTTATATATTATGTTCTCTTTCAGATCCTTGAAATGTTAAGAGGGCAAGATACCTAATAATTTCTTACAACTCTAAATATTCATAAATATTTTTGGAGGGGAAAATATATGTTTCCTTGTGCAGTATGAAAGCTGAAAAGGCTCTTGCAAAGTTATTCAAGTAGAAAAGATAACAATATGGAGGCAGCTTTTAAGAGTTAAGATTTATCTTACTGGTTCCTTTTAAGATTTAAAGGAGCAAAGAATGTGGAAATATTCTTCTTTTTCTTTAAGTGAAACAGCTATATTTTAAAATGCTGCAACTATTAAAAGTGCGCTGGTGGTGGCCAAAGGATTCTCTAAGCATAACGTCTTGCAAATATACAAAACACATTTTATGTGCTAATTTAAAATAGTTCAACATTTCTCAAGTCAGCATACTGCTTCAATAAGTGCCAGGACCCGGCAATGGCAGACAGTTTATTTAAAATAAAAACTCAAATACTCACGAAGCAGGTTCTGCTGCAAAGACTCGGAGCGGTACAGGTTCACGTGGTTCTTCTTAAAGACGTTCTTGAGCAGCTGTGCCCTCTCGGTGAGGCTGCGGGGCAGGTGCAAACGTGCGAGGTGAATTAGCAACTCAGCGGAACCCTGGGCCAGTGCTGCAGGAGCAGCAAGGAGAGTGGCACTTACACAAAAGAGCCCCCTGAGGCTCCGAGGCCTCACGATCCTTTTACTCCATTTGCTCAGACAGCAAATGAGATTTCAAATCTTAAGACACTTTTGAGGCTCTTTTCCCCACAGCCAAAGGGAGTTTTATCCCTAATAAGAACAGAGTAAAAAGTAAGATTTCCTCAGTTCTCTTCCAAATCGCTGTTATATTTAAGTCAAATAGATGCACAGAACCCATACAATATAACTAATAAACCCACAAAATCACCCAGTGGCATTTTAATTTCTAAAATCTTTTTCCATATATCCTTAGCACTGCATTTTTAGAGAAAAGACACTTTATCATCTTTTTCATACTTTGTGCATATTTTCATGCAAAATAATATTTTTGGTTATGTTAAGGAAACCCAAAACTATACAAATAATAAATTTTATATACTTTTTAGTTAGAAAACTTTATTACCACTCTATTTAATAGAGTTTAAAATGTATCAATTTCATTTTAAAATGATTTCAGAAAGTAATTTTATGAAGTAGAACAAGAAAAATACTTTTCCTTAAGTGTTTAGAACATCTCCATATACAAATCCACATATTTAATTACGCAATTTCTAAAAGAAGTCACACATTTCCCCCTTTACTGAACTTAGATCTATCTCTTATATAGTAGGAACTTAAATATAAGATGATTATGTACATTTGAGTAATTCTGAAATGCACTTCACACCATCAATCTTCCCAGTCATGCTATTTCTCCATTATTGAACCTTGCTTTGATATCAAAGAATAAGCATGAGGAGCAAGTAACCCACATGCATTGCAGCAAATGTTTATATAGTTTATATAACAAACTGACTCAGTTGAAACATTTCCATCTTTTCTCTCACTTTATAAAAGCTTAAGTTGCTGTAAGTTATGTTAGCTCTGCATTTTGCCAATTTTTAGAGACCTTGAAATGGAACAATATTTATCATATAAAAAAAAGGATCCTCAGCAAATGAACTCATTGTGGAAATGAATTAGACACACACACAGGCTGAAACCGAAGGAAAATATTTAGAAATGTTGACATTTGCAGTAATCTTCCACACATATTTTTAATAGTCTAGGAATGTTAACTAGTACTTACTAGGCATATTTTATTGTCACCAAGAATTAGCTGTATTAAAACAAGAAAACTACTCTAAAACTCCAGTGGTTCTGCAATTAGTTATAAACTTGTTGTTTTTTATGCTAGTGACATAAACATATATAAGGATAAAGGGCCATTTTAGCCAATTCACTTTCCTTACTCCACTCTTTAAATGATCTAACATTACAGACCCTGGGACCCAGAGGGACACTAAAATATGTAACTGCTTGGAGGAAGTCAGCAGCTTTAGCAGCAGGTGGTCTGATTTTGCTAGCAGAGCACTGTGTGTGTGTGTGTGTGTGTGTGTGTGTGTGTTCACTAAAGGCCTCTGGTGTTTAAAACCGAAATCACTACTGAAGACTGGAGGAAGGCAATGTATCATGAGGCCTGCTGCTTCTTCCTAAAAGGCATTTTCTAGGTTTTCTAAATGCATCATACTTTAATATTGTATGGCTTAAGTGTTAAGAAGGCAGGCAGGAGAATTTTGTCTTTCAAATACTATAGCAACTGAAATAATGCGATGTAATTTTTCTTTTTAAACAGTAAGAAAGTCTCTTTCTTAGGAAAGCACCACTTTCTCAGGAGTCAGCATGGATCTTGGGTCTGTTACTTATTCCCTGGGTCACCATAGGTAAGTGAACCTTTCTTGGCCATCTCATGTATAACAGGCAGGCACGTCTCAGGAAGACTGTGAGGGTTCAGGGACTTGTCATCCCAGTGACTAATACTGGTTTATATTCAACTTAAACTCATGAGCAATGTCTAAAGCAGCACATGGGTTTCCATTTCTAATGCCCCCATTCCACCTCTTTCCTCAGAAAAGGATTAGGCTTTTGTTGTTTGTTTTTCTTTAGCTACTTTGAGCTTTCTGCATTAGTCCTTACAGAGCAGTCTCTCCTCCAGAATATAAATGCCACTCACAGCAGTGTACTCACTGCAGTGACACTGAGTTGCATTTGTCTAGTGCAATTCTACCTTTAGGCAATGAAGGAAAGTCATTTCAAACTGTATTCGGTTCCATGTTACTTGTGTTTATTTGTACTGATATTACTAGCAAGTCACATTATAAAATATACTGATAACACATTAGCATTAATAGATACATTAAAGTACAGTTTTTGTTCAGGTTAAAAGTGTGAAAAAGGGAAAAGAAAAAAATGTGAGAGAATGAAAAGATGAAAATAAAGTGTTTGTAGATGGGGAGGGGAGGAGGGGGTGAAGGGAGGGCAGAGGAAAGGGGAAAAAAATGAGAATCAAGACTTGCCATGTAAAGGTACATGATCCCAACAATGAATGTAACTGTACTGTATCCCTAAATGTACCAATAAACTCAATAAAAAAAAAAAAAGTGTGAGAAAGCCAAGAAAAAAAAAAGATACCTCTTCTCACTAAAACCTAAAACCACATCTATTACCACTCTTGCTAGTAGTTTTACCTATCTTGGATAGTCTTTCATTTACATATCAAGTTATAGAAATTCTGAGTTTGTTTAATGCAATCACAAAGCAACTACCACTTAAAAATTACTACCTTGGGCTGGGGATTTAGCTCAGTGGTTCCACCACCTGCCTTGCAAGCACAAAAAAAAAAAAAAAAAAAAATTGCTACCTTATTTCCAAATCCACAAAAATGTTGCAACTGAGGTATTTGGTGGAGGTGAGTGAGAAGATATGATGTTTAAATATAATATTTCTTCTGGAAACACTAAAAAATGTTACAGCTGGTAAAAATCCATGTACAGTCTGGGAATGTATTGGAATGTGTTGTCTTAAGGTAATTTCCAAGATTTTGAAGGGTGGTAAGCTTGCATTTGTCCATATATTGTCCATGCTACTTTGGTTGGCTCATTAAAATGAATGTGCAGAAGGTAAACGAGCATTCATTTATGGAGTGTTAAACATACGCCATGTGAAAGAGGTCCCGTGCTAGGTAATGGTGGTGGAAGGATGAACAATGACTCTAAAAGGCCCAAGCTCTGTCCTGGAGGGGATGGCATTTCACTGTTCTGTCCCTTTTCTTGACAAATGTTAGGAAGAACCATTGTCACAGAGATGAGACTAGGCTGAGGAAAAACATTTGATATATTCCTCTACCTTCAATCCACATTAAGGCATTTATGCTATACTGATATAAGATTCAGTATGAAAACTGAAAAAGAAATACAACTTCTGGGACAATGTTTAAGCTCCCTTTCATTAAGATAAACAATATAAAGAAAGCCTAGGAGAAAGCCCCATGTCCACAGGACCACATGATCCGATACCCCTCATTCTCTACTTTTTTCTTTCATGCTATGGCTATGGGTCAATGATTGTACAGTGAGGACTGACCCAAAGACCCCAGCTGAACTTCTACTTCGTAATGGCCACTGCCGATGTACTGTTTAATGTCTATAGCTAGGAAAGTACAATTACGAATGTCGTTATATTTGCCTGTCTATACAATGCACTGCTTTTACACACTCTGGTGACACCCCAAAATAGGTGCCCTATCTCAAGTAAGTGTATAATGTCCAGAATCCCTTATTTAAAACCACTGTCTTTTGAAGTCATTTTTTTAAAAAAGAAATGGTAAGATGTTACATCCAAAATAGAGATGTAATGTCCAAGTGGGATCTGGGAGGCCCACATTCCAAAACATTAATATTTCTGCTATAAAATATATAAATCTTTACATTGTAGAATGAATAAACACTATCAATGTACTTGTAGGTCAAATGGTTCAGGTTATTCTAGTGAATGTTTGCTGTGAAACACACAGAAGAGGAAAGTTTAAATTCAGAATTTTTTGCCTTTTGGAAGTATCAGAGTTTTTGGTCTCAGATCCAAATAAAAGTTACAACGAGGCACAGGTTTTACAGTTTGTGAGTAATTCCGTCCCTAATAAACAAGCCACAGGTGTGTTTGGCACCACAGCCAAACAGGAATGAGGTTTGGGTTATTCTCCCAACATGTTAGAGTGAAACTGATTCCTACTTTAGCTCAAAGGTAATATATTGATGAAATATACTTTTGTTCATAAAATTTAATGGAATATCTAATTTTCTAAATATGGTAAGTGGCACGCTATTTCTACTAAAAACGACTAGTTACTATGATATGGATGTTTTAATTTTTGAAAGTGAAAAAAGGTGAAATGACTATAAATGACTTGCAATTTACAGTTTCCCTGACACACTGTATTTTATATACAATTTGAGCATAGGAGTAGTACTTAGGAAGACTAAAAAATTAGGCATAATCAACTCAGAAGATCGTTCTTAAGAGTTGCATCATTCTACAGCAAAGTAAACAATTGCTCCCTTGGACATTATCTAGTTTGGGAAGAACAACACCTAACTCTATGTTTTCGTGGGTTGGATTTTTATTTCACTACTGCTATGTCACTCATCCAGTTACTACCCACCACTCAGTCATCCTCTCCTACTGATTCATTCCTTAGTTCACTCCCTTGACCGTTTATTCACCCACTTCACAATATTCATCCAATGCTAGTAAGCTCCAACAGCCCAGCTAGGTGTTAGATTGTAGCTATGACTAAGACAGGCTTTTCTTGCAAGGGGCTCAGTCTAGTAGGGGAACAAATGTACACAGGGTGAGCAAACACATTATAATCCACTGCAATAAATGGAGCAATGAAAGTTTACACAAAGTACAGAGATAGTATATGAGGAATTAATCAGTTTTACATATGAAGAGTTGCAAAACTGCCTTTGAACTGGGTTTTGAAAGCTAGGGACTGGAGCACCCCATCTGGAAGAGGGGTGTTTGCTCCATGACAGGGGAGAAGTATGTGCTAAGACTGAGAGGCATATGCAGAATGATCGAAACTATTACAGTAAGTGACACATTGCCATGAATCCCTCTCTTCAGTGCTCTCTCTCGCTTGGAACACACTTATTCCGTCCTTGCCACTTTGTGAAGCAGTTCTGCAAGCCCTTTTCCTATCTTTAGTTGCACTGTTGCAGCTAACTTGATAATCTGAGTGGATTTAGAATGCTTCTCTTTCATGGTCATCTCGACTTCGGGGAAGAGTGAGAAGTCACACGGTGCCAGATCACGGGCTAAGGTGAATGAGGGTGCACTAGAATGCTTTTACGAGTGTGCCTTTCTGTTGGATGGCACTTGGCAGCAGCATTCACTGATCACAGCTTGTAGAGACAGTCACGAAATAGGACTTCCGAAACTGCTTCACAAAGTGGCAAGAATGATCGAGTAAATGCTTAAAATGAGAGAGAGTACTTTGAGAGGAATTAAAGGCTATCTGTCTTTTACTATAATAAAAAATTTGAACACCATATATTTTGACCACATCTTGTAATATGTTGGAACTAAAGGAGATCAGATATTACTAGAATCTAAGAAGTCTGAATTTGTCTCTTTTGGCAATGTAGACAAAATTTATTAACTTTTTTGAAATAATGACATCAGTGTTATTCTCCACCATTCCCCCAAATAATCCTGGTAGCAAAACCAACCTGACAATTCTTTGGCTTTAGAATGTAATGAGTTTGGCATGAAGACTTTTCTACCTTGTTGCTACTTTTCCTTTCTCAAATTCATTTTATTCATCTCTCCGCTAGCTGAAAGCCACTACGTTTATGCTGTTCACCAACCTTGTGGTAACCCACAGCAGCAGTGGCAACAAGCAGTACAGACAGTGTACTTGGGGTTTTGTCCGTGGTACTCAGCTAACAGCTAACTCATTCATGAGTTCTTGAGAAAGCTGAATAGCTATTTTAAGCAAGTGAGCTGGGCAGGATGGAGAAGTTGGTGGTCATTTATGGTAGAATCTTCTTTCCTTTGTAGGCATTCTCATTTCTTTTATTGAATGATGGATATGCACATCACAGACTCACTGAATCTTTAGGATTTGAATGTCATCACATCACCTTGTCCAAATCAGGCAAACTAAGTATCCTGTGTAATGTTTTATTAGCATACTTACAAATAAGCAAAATCAACTCCAAAGGATAGTAGTAATTATCAGTGACTTTCCCCTAATATCGTTACTAATGACTTTATTTATAATGTTATTATCCAGAAGGCTTACCATTTTTCACATGGGGGGTGGTGCATTTAAAAGCATAGACACCCACTTTAAGTATTGTGCTGAGAGACGTGGTGCATGCTTATAAGCCCAGCTCTTTGGAAGGTAGAGGCAGGAAGGTTACAAGTTCAAAACCAACCTGTGCAACTCAATGAGACAATGCCTCAAAATAAAATATAAAAAGGGCTGGGTTTAACTCAGTGATAGAGCACTTGCCTAGCACATGAAGCCTTGGGGTCCTTCTCCAATACCACAGAAACACCCTCAATCCCTCAGGGGTTAAGTGCTTTCTTAGATTATCAGTGGACTGTTTTTTTTTCTACTATACTATGTTCTTGAAAAATAAGTGAAAAAGGGGCAGACTAGCGAATGTTTCAAAGCAAGAGCTCTGGAATCAGCTGGCAGGGACTCAAGGCCCCCCTGTTGCTAACAATCTTGGGAACTTTAGTCTAAGTGCCTGTTTCCTTACCTGGAAAAAATATGGATAATCCCTCTGCATAGGGTTGTAACAAAGTTCAGTAAGACAGTCACCTTCAAGTGACACCTGGCAGGTAGTGAGTGCTCAACAAATGCCAGCACTAAACATTCAAGAGAGAGGAACACAGTGGTGCCTAACGTGAGGCAGTGAGAGGAGGGAGCCAAGGCCTTAGCCTGGACACCTATTCCGCCATGTCAAACTGAGTAAAAGATACTAAATCATGGTTAAGGCAACAAATACCAGGGGGAAACATTTCCTGTGGTTTCAATAAATCTTAGCCAACTTTTGTATGATGAAAGAGGAAAAAAAACCCCCAAATTCCTAGGACTGTCTTTATAATTGTGCTTTATTATATATTGTTTTCAACTTATTTTCTTTTTAATGATGCTTTGTGAATTGAGTGAATTTAATTAATTTGCCAATTACTTTTTTTGGGGGGTTGAGGAAAACTTGAAAGACCTAACTCCTTTCACAGATGACAAGTAAGTTGGTTCCTAATAACTAACACTGACCACAAATGCACTTACTGAGCAGTTTTTCTGTGTCATACTATGATTTTTGATTACATACTACATTATCACTTGGGATAACAGCATTTAGTTACGCTCTCCCCTTCTTTTTTTCTTTGATACAAGGGATTGAACTCAGGACCTTACACTTGTGAGGCAGGTGTGGTGCCCCTGAGCTAAATCCCTGGCTCTACATACTACATAATCATCATTATTATAATTGATACTGTTACCAGCTAAAATACTGTTTCCTCCCCTTTCATTTTAATAATAATTATTTGTAACTACCACTTATTTACTGGTTATTAAGTACTACGCATTGTTATATGCTTTATGGTATTCTTCAGTTTTAGGGAGATGTTACTGCCTCTAATTTATCGATGATAAAATTGAGGCTCAGTAGCAAGAAGCAACTTGGCTGTGGCCACACACAGGTTAGTAACTGACAGGTTTAATATGAACACACACCTCTCCGATTCCCACATCTGTCAGTAACACTGATAGCTCCACGTTAGATGATAACAGTTTTACTGCTTATTTCCAACCACTAGTAAAAAATAAGTGTAAATTAAAGTTCACTTGGAAAAGATCGTATACAACATACAATATAGTTTACCTTTTCCCAAGCACAACTGCTCCTGGGTCTTGAGATTTTGCCTCAAGCTCCTGAACTTCATCTACTAATGTTTTAAAAGCAGTCCTCTTGACACTGTGGAAAAGAAGGAGAGGAGTACTTGTGTGAAGACTTTACAAAACCAGATGCCTGTTTTCTTAGCAGGCTATTGATGTTGGTAAGCACAACAGTAACCAGAGTAGAAGCAGTTTTTCAACAGAATCTAAAAAACTATTGTAATTCTGTGCATTAATACAATTATAGGTACAAGTCTCAAAATAGATGGTTTAGGTTTATAATATTAAAACTCTCATAGTTATCGACTAACATCACGTAATTAACTTTAATGATTTTTTTGTAGGAGATCACATTTCAAAACTTAGAACCCTTGAGAAAAATGTGTAACAGTTTTGTTTCTTCCATTCTATAGGCTATATATGTTTATAATCAGGCCAGCAAAAATCACAGTAGCCTTTTGAATACTATTAAACTATACGTGTTTGGAAACAGCACAAATTTTTTCTTTTAACTTACATGAGTTTTGGGGCTGATTTCTAAAAATAATACTTGTTCCTAAATCATTACCAATTCCTATTCTGCAGAGTTTGAGTTGATGTCACAACTGGAGAAATCTGAGGATTAATACACACCAGTATTTCTGCGAGTTTAACCGAGCACTGTATACTTACACTTTGTACACCACGTCCAGCAGCAGAGATGCCACGGGGATAAACAACAAACCCGTCCAAAAGACTCCGGAACTGAACAACATGGCTGCCTGTGTAAAATCATCAGCACCAAAATTACTTGAAAAACCAAGAAAGACACCATTCATGTTTTCTTTGCATATGATTTCAGTCAAATTATTTTAAGAACATCATTCTGTAGTTCTAAATGCAAATTTGAAAAATATTTGAATTTAAAGTGAAACATTTTAAAATATGCATTTGTTACATCTTTTTTTCCCTGCAAGTAGCTAATAAAGTTTTCTTTTTTATCATATAAGTCTTCATATTATTACATGAAATTTTTAGGATGTGGTCAATATATGGAGTAACAAACCTTGATCTTTTATAACAGAATATCAGTGTTTTAGAGCAAACTTATATTCTGGCTTAAATTATAATACTATAGTATATAAAATAAATCCCAGTTAGGAACTAAATCTGCTAATTCTGGCAAATGAAAATTACTTTTGTGTAATATTTCAGGATATTTAAAAAAATCACCCAGTCAAATCATGATTATGGCATAGTTAAGATATTTCTGAATATAATCATTTGATTATTTTTGACTAGTAGGAATAATCTTAATATTTGCTCAGTGGTTTATATAACTTGTTTCTATGCAAACCTGTTATTGCTATGCTCATAGCAAATTCTACTATGTAAAATCCAGGTAAAAGTGTGTTAAAACTAACTTTAATAATTCCATTATTAATAAAGGAGTAATTGAGTATCTATCTCAAATTGTCATAGTAGAGTCTTTCAGGTCATAAAGAGAATATTTCTATGATTAAAAAAAGTAAAAAATTCTATTAGTTGTTTGCGATCAAAACAAATAACCTTTATAATTGGGTTACATAGAACTTAAAAGGAATAGTATTATATTAAAAAAGCAAAGGTAATGCTTTGGTTTCACTTCTTTGAGTCTATTGTTTATCAAGAGTAAATTCGCAAGACTTATTTAAGTCCATAATTCCACTGTTATTATTATAATTCCACTATAACCTAGCCATCTAATACATGAACATTTACATCCTTATTCATACAGGAAACTTCTCTTTTCTTTTTTATCAGGCATGGTTTAGAAATTAAAAGTGACCCAGAGCTTAATTTTCTAGGCAGTTTCACAACTGCACAGAAAGAGTCCTAATCAATCAATCTTTTTTCAAATTTAAAGATAACTAATTTAAAATTATGTTTCAGATTAACCATTCACTTTGACTCTCAACTGAGGACCAGGAACTGCTTAACTCTTCTTATATTAACATGGGCTTGTGCATACAAATCATTTGTTCTAGGATGCTAAGGTTTTTTCGGTTATGTAACACTGAACAGCTCCAAATACATTTAAAGTAAAAAGATGCTATTACAAAAAAAACAAAGAAAATAAAATTCTCAAAGAAATAAAATTTGCCACATGAGCTGCACAGACTAACACTCATATTCTAGATACCAACAAGATAAAAAAATTCACATAAAAGTCACTTTATTTAATACGCAAAACATGATCTTGGACATGTTTGCTGACATCTTCAATGGTGAAAACCAACAATAACTATGTAATAGGAAATGTCTATCAATTCAGAGGATTTTGTTTAGATTGAAGGAAGCTTTCTAGGAACTGTAACAACTGTAAAACACTACATTTCTTTTTCCTTCTGGGGGTAAAAGGTAAGGTAAGAGTCTAAAGTGTGTAACCGAAAATACTTTGTTCACTTGGCTTACTTTTAATATATTTTAATGTGGGGGCAAGAGAAGAAAGAATTATTCTTGCCTTCACCACCTTGAATTAAATGTCCGCTGGTAGAAAAGGGAAAAGTGGTGGAGAGACTGAGGCTGCTAATTCTGACCATTGTGATGCAAACTATGAGTGGAGGGGCAACTGGCCCCCACTATTCAGTCCACCAGCCTGGGGCTTTACAAATGAGCAACATGAATTGAGGGGAGAAAAGTTTTTCTGTGTCATATCTGAAAGCCTGTCAGATTTTTTTTTCTTTTGCAGAGTTAATCCAAACCTAAAAGATTTAAAGCCGACATTCGCATTTAAGACAGAGTCTCTTTGTATTTTTTGGATGAAGAGGGGAAAAAAAAAATAAAATCCCACAGAGGTATTTCCTTCCTTTCTGTACAAGAAAGCTCCCCTCGCTCTGTAGAAACCAGTTTTGTCTTTAACTTTTCACATCTCCCCACTCGCAGGCAGGTCAGCTGGGAAAAGGCGAACTAGTATCAGACAATGGTGGTAACAGGATCAGCCTGTTTGGGGCTAGACGTGGGCTCCCTCTGAGAGCAGTTTGCAAATTGCCCTGAACGTGGGAGATTGGTGGGCTGTGCCAAGTGCCCCCCACTCAAGGCCCTGTGAAACCAAATGGAATCTGCCACAAAAGTGGCTACTGGGGGCTGGAGAAGGGATCAGTGGAGTTGCTGGAAAACTGGTAAACTGGAGGGCATGGGCCCTGCACAGGGAACAAGCAACTGCTTGTTTCTACAGACGACTCTCGGACCACAAGGGCTTCGAACATAAACCAGCACTGACTGAAAATGAAACTGGAGCAGAAGAATTGTTCTGAAATTTCCATGTGAACTTGCAGAGAAAGAATGTTTGCAAAAATCCGAGCTTATTGTGCATTTGGCCAAACCCAGGGGTGTGTACAGACAAGAGGGGCTTTACCTTCTGACACACGGGGTGATCCGTTAGCACTGGCACCTACATTTCTAGCCAGAGGGGAACATCTCTTCCCTGCCAGTGTGCCCATTGGGTTCACGCTTATAGGAGAGTCCAAACTTGCCACCCGCTACCTTTAGGTATGCAGTTCTTATCTACCTCTCAGATTTCAGAGAGAAGCTGTGACTCCTTGGATAATGTGCAGATTCTTTCTCAAAAAAAAAAAAAAGAGGGCCTCTGGGAAACCTAAAGATAAGTCCTTGACACCAACTGGAGCAGCTCAGGTGACAAACAGCCCTGGAAATGTCCCTGACGCTGCTCATCCCGGCTGTCAGACTATGGAGAGTCAACTTCTCAACCTCCAGTCTCAGTTTCCTCAGCTGTAGACTGCAAGAATTAAACCCAATATTTATAATATGGCCTCAGTTATCATTAATATTATTATATATCATTGTCACTTTAAGTTTTATATTTATTTAAACACTCCTTTTCTCTCTAGTGATCTGTCCCATGAGCTTCAAGAAGGGTATTTTTAATCACAATATCAAATTAAGTATGTCAGTTAAAAAATTTCATGGTTTTCATCAAAATATCATCTCATGTGCTTATATCACCTAGCATTTTGAAATGTAATACTGAAATATAGGCCAATGCCACACATTTCAATTTGCTAATTTAAGAAATGGAAATTATTTTCATAGAAATTAACAACCACACAAGTGTAATATATTAACTGGAAAAAGGAAAATATTCATAAAATTGTGCTATAAAACCTTTTTTTTGGTGGGGGACGGGAGTACAAAAAATAAGCAAAATCTGAATGGTATTAAGAGTTTATGTAAGTAGCAACATCAAACCAAAATGTGATTATTGTCTAAAAAAAGCTTTATATTTCTAAGTTTTAAAACAATATAAAACACTCACAAAAATGTAAAACTTTTACATTCCCTAAAGAGCATAACTTTAAAAGTAAATGATCAACAAGAAACTGAGAGAATAAGTGGTACTAATACATTTAGTCCTGTCTTGATATCAGCTCATAAAAATAGCCTGCTTTTCCTTGTAAGAAAATGAAATCCCAATAGCTAGGCAAAAGACCCGGGCAAGTATTCACTAAAGGAGTAGCAAGTTATCTGTAGCACAGGATGGTGCTGAGCCTCTCTATAGTCATAAAAACACTACCAAATTAGATCAGATTTTAAAAATTCGCTTATTGTAGCTGGGGAAGTGCAATGCGGTACAGGATACTGTACCAGGTAATAGCTTTATTTGTAACAATTTACATTCTCACCAGCAATGTGTTAGCTTTTGGGAAAGGTATCTGATGGTGTGCACCAATGACACAAATTTTTATTCATGCTAACTTGATCATTCAATTTCGGAACCCTGTGTTAAAGTTAGGCACAGCTTTGGTTTATAAACTGGCACTTCATGAACCTGCTCTGAGGTCACTAGTCCTGGTGCAAACTAACCATAGTAGTTGGTCAGGTGCAGGGGCGTTAAGTCTGTAATACTAGCGCTGAGGAAGGCTGAGGCACAAGGATCACAAGCTCATACCCAGCTTAGGAAACTTAGTGAGATCTTGCCTTAAGCTAAAACAACAGCAACAGCAACAACAACAACAAAAACCAGAAAGGGGTGTGGATGTAGCTCTGTGGTAGTGTGCTCTTGGATTTAATTCTCAGCACTGCAAAACATAAAAACAACAACAACAAAACAACTGCAGAACCTACAGCAGCCTCCTCCTGGAAAGTCAAGTGCAGAACAGTATAGTTAAGGCTTTGAGAAGTCTGAGCAAAGAACCCCACGTTCAGTTTTTAAAACAACATTTCTGGATGCACTGACCGACCACACAGGAAATGTAACTGCTTACTAAGGTTCCACAGAATCAGATTTGGTGGAATGCAAATATTTTCTGTGAGTTTTTTAAAATGACAAAACATTAATAAAAGTGGCTGATTAAATATCCGTATGTCCATATATGAGAACGTATTATCCAAGCAGTCTGAGATGCTGCTCGTAGAATGTAATTATACAAAATTTTGTTTTAAAAAGAGAAAAGCCACATACTCTGGTGCTCTCTCAGTAGCCTTCTCCCTGCTCTCCATCAGAGGGCTGGCAGTTATCATCTCCTTGGGAATCAGCCCACCTCTCTGTCTGTGGCTTCATCCTGCTACCTGTATTTCACACACGGAGTCAGCTTCAGCATCAGCCACCACAGCAGAAGACCAGGTCCTATTCTTGGGTCTCTTCATACCACATCTCTTGTATCACTGGGTTTTGTTGGGTTTTGGTACCTTCAGATCTACCCAGCTCTGGCCAACCTGGCCTTCATTAGCCCAGCCCTCCAGTCTACCCGTGCTCTGGTGATCTCCTAGCCGAGGTTAATGA